TAGTGTACACAAAAAAGAAACCCAGTTCGCCGCGCCGCGCGCTTCTTCGTTGCGCGCAGGCATGTGTTGTGATCGACGCCTCTCCGTAACCACGGAAGCTCCACGGTACCTCCACAGAACCTCCACAGGAGGTATGATCGCTTTACTGCGTGTTAGTTTGCCCCGGGGCAAACAGCCACGCTTCTCCCCCGCAGTTTCCTGCGCGTGTGACCGGGGCCCCTATATACCTTTTTTGGAGGTTATATCACCATACCTAGTCATTCTAGCTACTTTCCATTTGTCCAGGTGTGCCGGAGCTACCGCATCTCTAAACCAGGACTGGGAAATAAACGGTAAATACCGAGATATCGGTGGAGGTAAAGATTCGTACATTTTCTTCCATAATGCTAACATTGGTTTCATAAGTGAGTTCGGACCTTTAAGTATATGTGGGAGAGAGTTTTCCCCCCAAAATATTGCTTTTAACGGTACTGGATAGTTCATGTCCGAATATATTTGAATCCAGTCCTGCGGTGGTTGCCTGCGTAATATTTTAATTATGTTAGCGCTTGTCTATAAACCGTAATATTTGGGGATATACGAAGACTTTGATGGACTGGCAGAAACAAACAATACATTTATATGGAATGGCAAAAAAACCCCAAGAATTAGATTTAAAGTATTGTAGGATGAGAAAGAAGAGGAGGCTTAGCAGTACCTAACATTAAACTATACCAAGAAGCAGCTGGATTGCAGAGTGGATCAAAAATCACAATGATAGATTTGTAAACTAGAAGCCGTGGTTCTGGATGACGGATTGCACAGTTACATTTGAATTTAGAAACAAAGTTGGAAAAATGAAAGTCATATAATCAGAGGCAGTCTCTTGAATAGATGGGAGACTACAAGGCTAAAGCAAACTTGGGGTGTATCAATAGACGCGTAATATCCAGATTGCAAGTTGTCATAGTCCCGTTGTACACTGCCTTGGTCAGGCTGCACCTGGAGTATTGTTTGCAGTTCTGGAAGCCTCACTTCAAAAGGGATGTGGAGAGAAGGGAGCGGGTGCAGAGGAGAGCAACGGGGATGATCGGTGGCCTGGAGACCAAGAAACCCCGTGAGGAAAGGCTGAGGGACTTGGGAAGGTTCAGTCTGGAGAAGAGGAGGTTGAGGGGGGACAAGAATGCTCGCTTAAATTAGTTGAGGAGCAATCACATAGAGGAGGGCAGGGATCTGCTCCTGTTGGCGCAACAATGGGTTTACGTTAAGGGTGGGGAGGTACCAGCTGGATAGTAGGAAAAACTTTTTTACAGTAAGAGTTGTTCAGCAGTGGAATCAGCTGCCCCGGGAGGTGGTGAGCTCACCCACACTGGCAGTCTCAATCCTAAAAGAAATCAACCCTGACTGTTCCCTGGAAGGCCAGATAATGAAACTGAAGCTCAAATACTTTGGCCACCCAATGAGAAGGGAGCACTCACTGGAGGAGAAGACCCTGATGCTGGGAAAGATTGAAGGTCAAAGAAAACGGGGACGGCAAAGGACGAGATGGTTAGACAGTGTCACCGATGCAACTAACATGAAGTTGAGCCAACTTCAGAGGACGGCGGAAGATCGGAAGGCCTGGCATGATCTGGTCCATGGGGTCACGAAGAGTCGGACTCAGCTGTGCGACTGAACAACAACAACAACACAAACACTCGTCAGGGATGCTCTAGGCTGATCCTGCATTGAGCAGGGGGTTGGACTAGATGGCCTGTATGGCCCCTTCCAACTCTGTGATTCTATTATTCTAAGATGGAGAATTAGACCTACAAGATCACTTGTAATGTCACTTGTAGATACATATTATGATAGACATGAAAGGAAAAATAATGACTTTGTAAACTATAATGATATAATAAATTCACAAGGAGAAATCCAATCCTGGCCAGCAATCAAAGAATCATAGAATCACACCGTTGGATGGGACCTCCATGGCCACCTAGTCCAACCCCCTGAACCATGCAGGAAATTCACAAATATCTCCCCTTAACAAAGACCCCCAGTGACCCATGTTCCGTACCCAGAAGATGGCAAAAAAACCCTCCAGGATCCCTGGCAAAACTGGCCTGAGTAAAAATTGCTTCCTGACGCCAAAGTGGCTTGTGGGGCAAAAAGAATTTTTGGTGGGGCTGAAGTTCTCAGTGCAGAAAGAAAAGCCATGTAGCCAAGAGAAAGCTGTTACCAGGATAGATCTCTGAATGTCCTTTGAAATCCGAGACTGTGTTATTGGGAATAATACCGGACAACATTGAAAAAATCTCACAAGACTTATTTAAATACATGCTTACTGCAGCTAGAACAATATTCGCAACAAAATGGAAAACTGTGACAAAATGTTAAAAGACAGGGGGACGGGAGGGAGTTTTCCCAGGGCAGGATGTTAAGAGCCTAATCTCACCAGCGTACGTCAGTAAGGTGGCGCTACTCTCCTGGGGTTCTTCACCCTCAGAAGATAAATGGAAGCAGCCTGCCGCTTTCCCAAGCAGCTGTTAAACACCCCATCTGCCGAGAAAAAGAGCAGCCCACAAAGTTTTCTTCTGGGTATAAGCAGGCCGGTAGCCAGGATTTTGTGACTCGTGGGGCAAATTTTTTTCTGGTGGAGCTGAAGTTGTCAGTGCAGAAAGAAAAGCCATGTAGCCAAGAGAAAAACACATAAGCAATCCTGTGATATAAACATTATCAGAAGATTTATATTGCTTTCAAGACTTATAAAATTACAAAAAGT